GAGACAGTGAGTGGAATCAAAGTCCATGTCACCTTTCCCAAGCCAGAGGCTTAAACTACGAAAAGCTGACTAATGATTCGATAGTAAACTTCTGCTGCAAACGATAAGTAATTTAAAAAAATTAATATTGTGACGGCTCTCCATTTCGAAGGGAAGATTGTTTGGAAGAAATTCGTGATGTAGCCACAATGTTTCATTATGAAAAAAATTATGTTGATGCCAGTCTTGCTAGTAAAATATTGATCAGGCTATTCTTGTATTGTGTGTCTGAGTTCGATCCGGACTTAACATTAGCTAGAGATGCTGCAGATAACTTCGGATACGAAGATTTAGATTCTGGTAGGTGCTCACTTTCTGGATTAGACGAGTTCTTTGATTGCAGCTCAAGGGATAAATGAGCTGGCGATTTGAGTAGTGGTCTCAAAATGTGGAGACCGCGTGAAGTCAGAACTACAAGTGAGGGGCCGGCATCTCCAATAAAGTCATCGCCTGCAAAACCACCGCCAGCAGCTAAAGAGTGAACTGGAGCGATCATCTTGTGCAAGTGAATCAAACTAAAAAAATACAAATGAAATTCTTTTTATAAATATGGTTTTTCAAAGTGCGATAAGTTTTTTTTTCTGGTATTTGCGAGAGGATTACAAAGACAACTAAAGTAAGAAGAGCGATAATTGTTCTAGGTCACATAAGGTGATGAAGGATTTTGTCGAATTTTCCAAAGTTTTTGTTGAATTTCACATAGCCTTGTTTTTTCCAAATGTTCACTTTGTATAAGAATAACATTAAGGAAAGAGGGTCATTTGAAATTAAATGGAATCATGAGGTCCACTCATATCATTGTGGAAAAATGCAAATATCAGTCCTCGATCTTCCAATGCGGCCTAGAGAGGATACAGCACTAATACAGGATCTATTGACAATTAAGAAACGTACTAAAGGCGAATATAAATTTAGAAGAATCATCCAGCCCTATTTCCCAAACTACTTGAAATTTTTTTAAAGGCAAATAGGCTTAACAGGAAGTCATCGGGGTAGCAGGACGATAAACTGAGGTCTTCTCTGCACAATATATTAGTCACAAGTCCAGGACAACCCTAACTCGGTATGTATGGAGTCGAATTCACGAATACATCATGCCTGCACTTTCAACGAAATTAGAGTTTTGCATGTGGCGTCGAAAATATATTCTACTCTGAGCGGGAAGGTCTTGTTTGGAATGGACTGAGTGGGGCTTTTTAGTATATCAAAGATATTTCATTTCTATGTAACAGTGTGTTACCATAAAATTATACGGTGACAATTGTTCAGCAACTTATGGCGGGGTTGGCCAATGTATGACAAAATAATTATGCAGCCATTTACTAACAACTAAATATTATGAGCTTTTTCGTTTAAGGTGATAAACTATTCCTATCGGGGGTGGACTGCAGTCTCCACCTCGCCTAGGTCTCTGTCTTGCACCTCTAGCGGGACTCGAACCATCGAAGTACAGCGTATAATCTCGAAAATAAGTCATGCAATCTACTGAGATGACAATTAAGATGATAATATAATGTGGGAAAAATAATATGTTCATGGTATCCTTGACTGAACCAGTATTGTAGTTAATCGTTGGAATATCAATTTTCTGTATGTGGCAAAAGTGCATTTCAAAGGATTTCTTATAAGATTAATGTTGGAGTATTTTTCATCTCGTTTAAAGAGGCGAGTGAAGTGAACTCCCTACCCATATGGTTCATCACAAGGCGTGGCCACGATTAAGAGCCTCTTCGATTACAGAACTTCATCCTCTTTACATTGTCCACTGATTTGTAGCTGAGCAAGGGATTCTTAAGTTTAGCTTACCACAAGCTTATGGGGAATTGCCTAGAAGCTGTGACCGTGGATTAGTGAAAATAGGTCCTCGGAGCACTGCTATAGAACCTCGATTAATCCTCGTGCTTCCATCTGTCATGTTACGGACATCATGTCTAACCATTATTCATTAAAACATGAAGAAAAGAAAGGAAGGCATTCGTGTTTGGGCAAATTAGCCTCAAGCGTAATGTCCTGCTCTGATGATATTCGCCACACGACGGACGAAAGCTCAGTAAAGATTCACCGGGGTCGCAGGGCGGTTCGCCCAGGGCCTATTCGCACAAATCCCTTTCAACTTCCGATCAGGTTTATATCATTTTGGGAAAATTCGAATAATCACTTTAAACGAATATATCCAGTACAATTTTTTTCGTGCTTGCAAAACACAAGCTTATGATTATCATGGAGTTGATATCGCTTAGTCCAGGCTTAAATAACTGCATAATAATTAAAACTATGGTATATGTGTCATTGCCGCGATCTGGTAGGTGATGAGACGCTAATGAGCGATGTATAAGGTTACGATGAGTGCCGACAGGACAGAAGTTCTTAATATATTTTGCAGAACACCCTACCTCACGGGACAATGTATAAGATACGACATAAAAACGACTTTGTTTCTCGACCGGTAAATGTTGATAGTTCCAACCCAAGGCTTTGCTGCTTACCAATATTAAGTCGTGCTGCTGCCGGCTACCGCAGCAATATTGCTGCAGTTCACCT